CATAAATCTGTCATACAAATAGTTGCTATCTCTTGGCTATGCAAACTATGTGTGGGAGCAAAAAGACAGCAAAAAGTGAAAATATGAAGAAATTAATCATGTTGGGTAATAGGAAACGTCGTGTTATGGGAGTGTGCTGAACTTACTGTACTTATATTTAGTTACAAATCACAATTCCAAAATAGAAAAGAACATGCAGAGAAGATGGGAGATCTGAGAAGTTGAACTTTTTAAGACACCAAGGCAGCACCTTTCATAAGAGATACATCATACATTGCCCACAAAATGGCCGTATATAATAAATTCTTTTGTCAGAGGCTGTAGTGGCAGAACTGACTTTTACCCATCTTTTACCCATGTTAGAGGGGTGAGATTAGCATTCATGAAAGTTAGTATATTTTCCTATCTTTAAGGTCCAGCTGAATGCCTTTTGGCATCTCCTTTTACTACATTCCGCTTTCAAATAGGGTAATAATAATACACTCACTGAGTTATCCTTATGTTTGTCATTGTCTTGGTGAGCAAGGAAGAAGTGACAGTCTCATTTTGAGAAATGCAATTGATATTGTGTTTCTTTCCTAATAACTTTGATATAAATTAATTGTATGTTGCGGAGAGGTGACCAGTGCTTCTTCCCATTACAGTGACAAACAAGCCTTTCCGGAGCAGAAAGGTTATGCAAAATCTAACACCTAGTCTCAGTCATTACAGTGAGTGAATGCAGGAAAAGGGGGAGAAGAGCAGAAGAGCTGAAGTCTGGATAAACAAAAATAGTCACAGAGTCACAGAGTTGTATGGGCTGGAAGGGACCTCCAGAGATCATGTAGTCCAGCCTTCCTGCAAAGCAGATTCCCTAGACCAGGTTGCACAGGTAGGTGTCCAGATGGGTCTTGAATGTCTCCAGAGAAGGAGAGTCCACAACCTACCTGGGCAGCCTGTTCCAGTGCTCTGTCACACTCACTGTGAAGTTTCTTTGCATATTTGTGTGGAACTTCCTATGCTCCAGCTTATGGCTGTTTCCCCTTTGTCCTGCCCCCACAGACTGCTGAAAAGGGCCTTGTCTCTGACTCCCACACAGATGGTGTATGTATATAAAAATAATGCATCTAGGGGAAAAATAAACTTATGTAGTGCTGACCCTGAAACTAGCAATTAAGAAAAAGGAAAGAAATCATGGCAGTATTTATGGTAGTTCTGTAGATGTTTCTGTGTGCAGTCGTATTTCAAAAAGCAACAGAATCTCATGCCTTGTCAGGAACAGAGTGAAGAGGATCCTCTCACTGCAGTGTGCTACGTCTTGAATGCTGCATGCAGTTCTGGAATCACATCTAAAGAAAGGCAGCTGAGATGTCAGGTGAAAATGACCTGCCCTCAGGTCTGGGAGTGAGGTGAACTCACCAGCTGTGAGAGTGGCTCTGGATGGCATTACTATGGGCATGATGCTCAATGTGCCTGAGTGCAGCTTTCTGGGGAAGCACGGCAAGAGCCATCTACTTGTTAGTAGCTGCAATAGGAGAACTGGAGAGCACGCATGGCCATCTAGGGGATTAGTTCAAACAGTGTGGGGAAAAAGTTTATTTTTACAGAGTAACTTTTCTAGAACTTGTTGCAATGAGTGACTGTAGAGGCAAATAGGATCAGCAGGTTCAGGATGGTTTCCAAGAAGGTGGTGGACAGGAACTTCTGGAAGGACTGGTCAGGGACACACTCTCCTGACATCACATAACAAATGATACTGCTGGAGAAGGAGGAAATGTACTGCAGATAATGACCAGATTTTCCCCTACGTACTATGTCTGGTTGCTGCCATCACACGAAGTGCTGCAATAGCTGGACTGTCACTTGGATCCCATAGGACGTTCTCAGATTCTGGTCTGCGGAGGCAGTGGTCAGTGCCACCTGCAAGGTTTTGTGCTGTTGGAGGTAATGTAAAGCTGGAATTTTGCCACTGTGGAAATGCATTTTGTATGTTTTGAAGAATGACTTGCAAAACGCACTGAAGGAGGAGGAAGCCGAGGCGACCACATCTATCAGCCGGGACACAAATAACTGCCGCGGTGCTGTTTTCCTCGCGGCAGTGATTCTGTAGGAGAACGAGCGGAGTGACAGCCTGCGCTGTTACCCGCTTAGGACACGGTCGCCGGGGGGAGGTGAAGCACAGCAGGGCGGGCCCGGAGGCGGTGCGAGGGGCCGCCGGGGTCTTGCGCCGAGCTGTGCCGAGCCGGGCCACCTCGCGCTCTCATGCGCAGGGTGAGGGGTCCCGGGCCTCCGGGCTACTCCCGGGGCCGCCGGGGGCTCCTGGTGGTAGGGTGAGTGCGGAGCCGCTCGAGGCCGGCTTCTGTCTGGCTGCGGGGGAAGCTGTTCGGGGCCGGGTGGGTTGCGGGCAGCGCTGGAGGCTTGCCGTTCGGTGTCTGCCATTGCAGGCTTCAGTGAAGGCTTCCGAGGAGACTGTCGCGTTTCTCATCGCTGGGGGAGTGTACTGTGCATGTACTGGGAGGGATATATATATATTTTCTTTCTGTGGCTGATTACTGACTTATTTCCCTGACGTCATGTAGTCCAGGGAGTCAGGAGGCACAGTACCTGTGCGTGCAGGGGAATAATGCAGCAGAAACACCTCCCAGCAGCATCTCAGGCCATGCGCTGTGCCATCTATGTGCTTTGTTTTGCAGAGGAAGTCAGGGGCGTTTTATTGGTGCAATTTATTCACATGTGTGTAAGTCTAGATTGACTTTAAAGCCACTGAAAAGGTACTTGGGAATTCTCTGAGGAATCATAAACCTTGTAGGGCTAGGAGGTCCTATGAGCATGTTCAGAGCAGGTTACTAGAAGTCTTTCAAGGGAATGAAAGAGCCAGGATGGAGGGGGAAAGGTTCCTTACTCAGAGAAATAACTGCAGGTGAAAGCAGGAGAGGAGCACAAGGCTTCCTTCTCTGGTGGGTTTTCATAGGATTGCTTGGGGCCAGTGACAGCAGGTTTGTTATTGGCTGGATGAAGGAATTAGCAGTGTCATGGAAGGTTGTTGGTGGTACTGAGCTGTGGAAGGCGAAAGTCACCTATGAAAAAACTGAGAAAGAACTTAGAAAATGACCTGGGCAAAAATACAAGAAATGAAATGGTGGAGATTTGTAAAGATGGCTTGTGAGCCCACTACTATTACGTGGGAGATAGGTCCTGGTGTGGTGAACAAGGGATAGGGCAGGAAGATCAGAGCAAGCATGTAGAGATGTTTCTTAATGCTGCTGTTCCTGCTTCCAAGAATGTGCAAGTTTAAATGTGTGGTAGCTTTTTGGTGGTTATTAGCCAGGGCATAGGTGTGAAATTGCCTCTTTGAATGGACAGTTAGGTTTTGATGTTCATGTCTTTGCAATCTGTGCAGAGTGAAGAGTAACACAGGAAAGCATAGGAGTATGGTTGAGGAATCCTAGCAGTTGCATGGCCAATATGTATTTTCTGGCTGAAGGAATTAAGCAAGCTTCTAAATAGAGAGCTGTTTCCTTACAGTTACTCATTTACAAATGTACTTTGATGTAACCATGTTGCTGTTTGCAGTTATGACCTGAGGGTTTCACTGGGGTGAAATAAGAACTTCAGCAGGTGAAGTAATCTGTTACTCTAAAAATGCTTCTGAGGAACATTTTGACATATTCATGTGTATTCTGAAGTGATGAGTGTGAGAGGTAGATTGTGTTTTTGGAAATTTGGTGGAAATTTCCAATATTCCTGTACGTAGCTCAGGATAATTTATTTTTCATAAAGGAAGTTGCTGAACAGAGTAAAATTGAGGCTGTGGCATTCCGACCTGGGTAGAACTGGCGTAGGCACTATATATGGTAACTATATAGGGTAGGGGAATGGCTAGCACAGGATACAACAAATATGCTATTTTTTGGAAATACTGTCCTCTAGTTACCATAGGAATATACAGAACATACCGAAAACAAATAGGTTGGTAACAGACATTGTATGGAAATGCATCGTAGCAACAGTGTTGGGAATGTTGTGAGCCTGAGATGCTCAACCAATGAGTGCTAGGAGAGGTATTACCTGCATCAGACTCAGGGTATATAACAGAATGGATTTCAATGATTGGGTTTGCAATTTCTCCCTTGTCAGTAGGAGGTGTGTGCCTATTATTGCAATAAGGAATAAACTGCTTTTCACAAAGATCTTTGCCTGATTAGAAGTTTTTGATTTTAAGCATGTTTCTCAGAATGGGTTTAGCATATTAATGGCAGAACTTAGTGGAATTACCTAAATTTTTATTAGAAGAATTTTCTTCTATTACAGATTATTCAGTTAAGACCAACAATAATACTGGAGGCACTCCTATGTGTATGGCTATTCATTTTACTATTCATATGTGTGGTTTGAAAAGGATGGTTTCAAAATCTGAGCATGCATTCAGGTATTTGGAGATCTAAAAAAGGCATTTTCTAGAAACAGTTATTCTGGAAATGTATAGTAATAGGAAGCTTGTAGCTTGCTTTTTAATATAGTGCTAGAGAATTTTCAATACTGGAAGAACTGATGCATTATGACCTATAAATGTATTAAGAATATGCACGTTTGCTCTACTAACATCTCAGTTCACTTAAACAGAACAGCCAGATGCAGTGTTCGTAGCCTTGTCAGTAAGGGACATTGTTTGGTTGGCACCATATCTGTACTTTCTTTTTATGCAGATACATTTGAGAAAACGGGCTTTCAGTTAATGATCAAATAGAAATGTCCAGTTAACCAATTACTGCATGAGCAGTTGCTATTTAGTGGCTTTCCTCTGTTTCAGGTGTAGTGAGCTGCTGCTGCAGTTTTTGTGCTTCATTTCAAACTTTAAAGTGCAAAAATGGGTAGAATGCTTGTGGAGTTAAAATATCCCTGCCAGTATCGACCATTCTGTGATGGAAAATTTCATTAGAGTTGCTGAAATCTTTCTTCAGTTGAGGTGTAAGTGTAGCTTATTTAATTTTATAAAATAAATTTTTTTTTTGTGCCTTTAGGAAGGGACTATCCAGAGGTTCTACAAATCGGTATCATTCAGGAAAAAGTAGAGAATCTCTTCCAGCAGTTTTTGAGAGAAATGTGCAAGAAGCCATCAATAACTACAGTTGGTATGCAATAACTTCTGAATAAGTACTTCATTAATGGACTCTTGGCTTATAGTCCCTTCAAGAGTAATATTAATTTTCAGCAGTGGAACTTTATTCCTGATTTGTGCTACAGGCTTGCATGTTGTTAGAGCACAGTAAGGGTACAAATTAAACTTGGGAAGGAAATCAGTCTTGGCAGTTAAATGCAGATGATACTAACTAGCTTTTCAAGTCAGTTAACTGTCAGGGAATTTCATTCCAGCTGATGTTGGTTAGCCTTTGCTAGGCCTGTGTGTCTGATTGCATCCCAGGGGTGGAGGTAGCTGATTAGAGACATGCTTGAGCTTTCTGGGAAGTTGTAATCCCAGAGCTCACATTTTAAAGTGTACCAGGTATAACAGAAGGAAAGCCTCTGGGTACAGACCCATAACCTGATGCTAACTGAAACATTTGCAGAGGCTTTATGTTCAGTTGTACAGAATCTCCTTGTGATAGCTTCTAATAGAGCTAAAGAAGATTTATGTTATCCTTAATGTGCAGTTTTTTATGTGCCCATTAATTACACTGGAGCACAGACAAAATAATTGTTAGAGGTGGAAATGTATGTGTGTATACTTACATATATGTCTTGGAATATCTATCCATGTTCTAGAGTGCCATTATGGTTACAATGGTATACAAAACCAAATAAATACAGTGGAAGGAATTGCCTTTGAGGCAGGAAATGGTACCAATAGGACCATGTACCCACATCACTCTACTTTAAAGCATGCACTTAAAATTCCTCACAGTGTCTTTAATTTAATGTCCTGAAAATCATGTATCCAACAGGCAAACATATTGCTGTCCATTTAAGTGATCAGTTAAATTACTTTTAAAATGTTTTTATAGAAAACCATCATATTCCTCATTTTAACTGTTTTCTTTTCACAGTGAAATGCTTTCATCAGTTTCATCTAGTGGACATGCAACACTCACAGACCTGAATAATTCTTGGTCTGGGATAAAAAGCTGTACAACTGGTTTGTCTACTGAAAGAAGTTCTGTTTACTCTTGGAGGGATGATGTATGTCACAAAATCTTTTACAGTACATTTTATCCAAGTATTCTGGAAAAGAGTAATTTTTACGGAAAATGGATGCGTCTTATAGAAGAAGAGTTAATTGCTTCCATCAGCAATAGCCTATTGATTAAAGATATTAATTGAATATTTTAAAACAGTTTTGTTTGCAAGTTGATAATCAGCTGATTTGTTTTGTTTCGTTTTTAAAGAAAAGAATAAATAATGGAATTGAGGTATAGGTAGTCTTAAGGTTTTGAGTCCAATCTGTTTTCAAATACTGGATATTTTTTCAAGTACAGTTTTCAAGTACTGGATAACATAGGTGATGGTTTAAATTTGACTATTTTCAATTTTTTGAGTCATTAAGTACATTCATGTGTATGCATGCAGACATCCCACTCTAAATAAATATTTAGCTCTTGCCTAAGCTCAGTGGGGTTGTAGGTAGTATAGGGTTAAGTAAAGCCCATTAGTGAGCTTGACCAAAGGGGCAACCATGGTGGCGGCATTTTGAATAAACCTAAAAACACAGCAGTCACCACCACTTTCATTTTAAAAAGCTATTCATTTATGGTGATGGTGTCTCTTACCTTCTACATCATCTCCTCACTTTTAGGGTACTGCCCCCATCTGCCACTTCCAGCCCTACTGGAGGCAGCCTAATGTGACATTATCTAGCCAAGAATTATTTTCCCATCTCTGCAGTGTGATCCCTGAAGCGGTTGGGGAACTCAGGTGGAAGTGAACAGATGTGCTTTGGACCCTGATTATTTCCATTTCAGTATATCAAAGTATAATGAATATAGCACATAGTGCATGAATACGGTGCCAGAATTCTTCAGCAATGTGCTTGTACCTACCTCTCTGGCCAGAGTCTGATCCTTTTCTTTTTTCACATGCTTCTGAACTCATCCAATTCTGGTTGTGCTGAGCTCAGTGAAAGGGTACGTAAGGCAGTTTCTCACACTCAGAGCTGTTTCCCAACCACAAGTTATCTCTTTGCTGTTTTACCCGGAAGGGAAAAGATCCACTTGAAGAAGCAGGATGCTTTGGTGTCTTGTGTCCCAGAGGTGCATGCTGTATTAAAAAGGGAGACAGGAGCTGTGACACCTTGTAATTGAAGTTTTCTGTTGGCTGCTCTCAGGCAGCTCTGTTACCCGTTGACTTCATAAGAAATGCAGGTTTCTAGATCACTGCTGCAGCACCTTGATCAAGCCAACTGCCTCTCTTTTTGCACTGCAGAATATTAATTTTGTCCAAAGTAGGTAGTGTAGAGATCATTTTGAGATTCTCAGCCAAGTATCAGTTGTCCCGTTCTTAAAAATGTTCTTTTAAATGTAAATGTTTATTTAAATGTTTACCAACAACTATTAATTTTATGATATGTAGGAATTTGACGAAGCCAACACACAGAGAGTGCATCAGCTATTCTGGGATATTGATGAAATGCTGTTTGAAGGAAAAGTGACCTCCCAAACTCAGAGCCTGCAGGCAGAATGCGCAGACTGGGTTGAGCGATCTCTTCATCTAAGGTAAGGAAATTTCTTGCTGGTACCTGTTTTAACTGGTTATCGTTCTGAGTTGCAGTGTGGACTTGAGCTGTGCCACTGTTGTGTGATAAGTCTTAGTAGTGCACTAGCAGCTAATGCTCTTTATGGATTGATATGGTGATGGCAGGCCAAGATATTTTATCAGGATTAATCAGGATCACCATTTTCATGTATTTTTCTAATTAAAGAATGCATCTTGTAATAAAACCACTTGTTTTTACTGCAAGTGAAAGCATGCTGTCAAATCCCAAGAAATTTAGTGTTAATTCTGTTAGTTATTTACTTTTAGAAAAAACAAAAAATGAAAGCAACCACATGCTTCACCACGTGCACTGCACAGTCATCTCACTATGGCAGTTTTCACAAGCATTAAGACACATTTCACCTTTTATAGGGGTGTAAAAATTGATAGAACATTTATAAAATGGAGACAGGCTTTGTACTGTGCAATTCATTCAAAGCATTGTCATTTCACAATTTTTAGGATGTTTTAACAAGGTGAAATGTTGAACAAGATGACCTCCTGTATGTATGATTTTATGATTCAAATCTGATGCTGGTGGTACTGAGTTCAGGAGTTTGAAAGTAAACTGAATTAATCTGGGAGCTCTGTGTTGTTTTGACCACGGGGATGTAGTATATCCTGTGCTCTTAATAGATTTTATTTGTACACTGCATTCATTTGAAAATATTTCTGATGTATTTTGTTTAATATTTATACATTTATAGTGATCTACCAAGTTTGACTTAACTTGATCTTAAAAATTGTATGCTAGAAACTCCTCTGCAATTACTTGCATTTTAATATTTTGACTCAAATGGATTTTTCCCTAAGGTCTCTCTCTCTCTCACTTTTTTTTTTTTTTCAGGGTTCTGGGAAAGCAGATCCTGTCACCAAAGAATGAAGGTTTTCAGCACTTTGAAAGCAGAAATGATAGCTCTGTGGATACTAAGTGTTTACCTGGTCTTCATGAATGTACTAGTAACATAAAAGAGTATGTTCATGTTTTTAAGTTTTCTACTTTTTCAGAAATCTAAAATATTACTTTTACTAAAAATTTTCAGTGTAATTAAATATATGCTTCTTTCTGCTTCTTTCTTTGAGTATTTAATTCTCATTTTATTGGTAATTTTTCAGACTCTGCATTTCTGGCTCTAAGCTGGTTCCTAAAGTATCTCCAGTACAGAAATCAATAAGTTCAAATTCCACTACGATTTATGGCACTGAGTTATCCACGTATTCATTCCTGGAAGAAGAAATCTATGATGCTGATGGAAAAATGGAAGAATATCTCGCCTTTGACATCAAGGAGCTGTAAATAACAGATATATACATACGTTGGTTTTTTTTGTTTTGTTTTGTTTCTTTTTTGTGTTTGTTTGTTTGTTTTTTAAAGAATATAATGAAAAATTCTCACTGAGCCCAGCCAGGGTTCATAAACTGGATTTCTCTTCTTAAAATACAGTTTATTTATTCAGTAGCACAGTGATCAGTGCACTCAGTGGCATGTGGAGGACTAGGTTATCATTTTGGTGGTTCCAAACTCTCATATCTCATGTCAGAGAAATGTCTCATAACCACTAATTGCTTTGAGGCATTTTTTTGCATGGAGATCCAAAAAAATGTCTATTCAATTTTGAGACAGGCTGTAGAATGGAGGAATCTGCTTTCTTCATGTGAATGTCTTGACCACCAGATTGTTTAGGGTCATCACACTGGATATGCTTTCAATGTCTGTCCTAATGAATCTTAAATCCTTGTGCATTGTAGAACAGCTTTGCAAGAGGTGCACAGTACAGCCTGCATTTAGAACATTCTCTTGAGTAATGAGTAGTAAAAGTATCTTCTTGAATATGCAAGCCAGTTTTCCAGTGGACTGGTTGAATGCTCCAGCAACTAGGTTGCTGGGCAGAAGAAAGACCATAACATGCTATTTTCTAAAAGACCTCTGTGGAGGGCTGACTTTAGTAGAATTAGTAGGACAAAAAGTTTATCTTTCGTGTTCAAGCTTGATGCACTTGCAGAAAAAGACATGCTTCTGAAAAGCTGAGGAACCAGTGAGATCCAGATAGACCATTTAGTCCTGTTTTGAAAAAGCATATGGGTACATGCTTTTTTGGAAATTTTTTGGGATTAGATGTCCTTCTAGAATTTAAGAATCACTTTGTCTTACTGCATAAGCAAAATGATTGGAAGAGGGATCTCAGTGAAGGTGTGTTTCCCTTCTTTGTGTCTCTTGTTTCTTGTCTCTCTTGTGATTCAATTCTGAAATACATGGGCTGCTTGGAAAGTAGTGCCTCCCATTTCATTATGTTGGTGCACAATGTCAGAAGTGGATATTGTTGGTATGGCAGTAGAGGTTGCACCTTCCCACCAGTATTCCATTACATGTTGTTGCTGTGTGATGAATGGCAGCAGAGGGGCAGTCTGACAGAATGATGCCTGGCATGAAAGTGCACATGAAGCAAAGGTGTGCCACTGAGTTCTTCTGTGTAGAAACAATTGCACCCATTTACATTTATCAATGTTGCTGACTGTTGATGGAGACCAAAGAGTGGATGTGAGCACAGTGAGGCTCTGAGTGAGTGATGCATTGCAGCAGTGACAACAATGCTTCACCTCCAGTGGTGCAGGTTTTTATAAGCATGGCATACAGGATCTTGTTCATCTCCAGTGAAAATGCATAGTTAATGGTGATGGCTATGTTGAAAAATATCCTTCTGTAGCTGTGAGTGAATTTGCTCTACCAAATAATATAGTTGTGCTCTTTTTATCTGCTGTAGTTTTCTCGGAGGCATTACTTTCAGAGCGACCTATGTATATTTACGCTGTTTAACTTAAACACTGGACATAAAGTTGTTTCTTTGATCACTAGTGGATTGTTGCAGATGTATACAGGTACACAGGACTTGATGAAAAAGACATGTTATGTTTTATTAGTGATGATGAGTGTTTGGAGCAAAAGAAAATACATCTTGCTGAGAAGAGGAGTAAGAATGGCATTCCTCCTGTTTCTCCAATGGCTTGTATCAGGGATGCTGTGGCTTCTGAAATATTTGATCATTTATGGAGTAATGTAATTGGAATATTGGAGAAACTGATTAAAAAACATTTGGAGACGAATGTCACAGGTATTTGATATTTTTCAGATACTAAGTTCATAACATCTAACTTGGATAATTATTTTTTCCCTGTAAGTGAAACTTGAGAAATATGTATATTTGTAGTGCAGCATTGTTATATATGTAATGTCTTACCAGAAACCACCCTGCAAATGCACCTAAAATGATTTCCTACTAATTTGTAGCAAGTTTTGCTTTAGAAGTGTAAAAAGGTCAGAATATTGACTAGAAGAATTCTGTTACTGGAGATGATGTGCTTTTGTTTTTAAATCACTGCTACAAATTGATGCCGTTAGTGGGGGATTGCTGGCATAGTGTGAATCTGGGAATTTGAGTTTCTAATAGAAGCAAGATGTTGATTTATACTCAAAACAAAAAGAAGTTGGTTTATTCTGTCAGAAAATGATAGGTTCAAGACTTCCGCATTTTTTCTTCTTAAAAAAGATAATCTTTGGGAATTTTAAAATAATATTCCAGGAATGTTTAACAGTATTTTCTTAAACAAGCAAATGGACAAAAAAAAAAAAAAAAAAAAAAAAAAAAAAAAAAAAAAAAAAACAACCATAAACAAATAGGAAATTCTTTCAGAAAAACAACCTTTAGTTATTTTTAGTAGATTTTTAAGTATCCTGGAAACTAAAAACTGTATCAAAGTATTTCCTGTGAAGTTGAATATTGCTAAAATCTCAGAAAATGCTGCTAAAATACAAAATGCGTTTTATTCCCTCTATTTTTATTTTTTCTCTATTGTGCAGAGAGTGCCAAGCAGGCAGAGAAGCTGAAAGCTGTTACAGGTAAACTGCCAGCTGTTCGTGTTACAGCAGATGTTGGCAGCATCCTCCTTTCCAGAGGCTCTGAAGCACGAAGTGTGTCTTTTGGATCTCATTTAGCTTCATCACAGGTAAAGATAACCTCAGGCAACCTTTGTTTTTAAAAGATCAAACAAACAAACAAGAAAAAAAACAAACTGAAAACCAACCCAGCCTAATTCAATAAAGTAAGTACTGGCATTTAAAATGGTGGTTGAATGTCCTCACTCCCTCATCACGTATTTGGTTGTTCCTAAGGGCAACATTATCACTAAAGTATTGCTGACGCTGATTTAAGAATAAAAAGAATAACAAACTCAACAGACCACAGATTTTTTAGAAATTGAATTTTATGAAAGCCTGTATTCCCTCCCTAGAAAATAATTCTGCTTTTATCACAGCCAGAATTGGTAGCATTTAGGTAATCAAATCAGCCTCTTCCCTGGTCTGCAGGGATGTGGAACTACAACTCACTTCAAGTGCTTTACACAAAATCCTGTGACTTTCAGGCTCATTTCTTTTCACCTCTGCTGCCTCTTTCACATGGGGGCTTTGCAGTACACTTCAGTGCTGGCAGTAGGGCTTGCCTGTCTTTCCAGAAGCTTGTGTTTGTATTGATAAATTTTTTTTTTTTTTTTTTTTTTTTGGTCCTGCTTAGTGCCTTTTCCCTCTGTCCGTTGGCTCCTGCTTTGCACATCCTGGTTCTTTTCTTTCTAGCCTCTATTTCTTTCTTTCTTTCTTTCTTTCTTTCTTTCTTTCTTTCTTTCTTTCTTTCTTTCTGTCTTTCTGTCTTTCTGTCTTTCTGTCTTTCTGTCTTTCT